TTTGAAAAGTTTCAGCAGAAATTAATGATTTTCACCACCTCACCTCACTTCAAAAAAAAAAAGATCACGAGGGACAATGACAACCAACGGGCTGCCATTTTGCGATCGACTTAAATGGAACTGGTCCGAAAGGACAGACTTTGGAAACCCTGTGCGGTCGCGGATGGGTTAAGGATAATTTAGCAATAAAGCATACACTGTAAAAAGTGGCGTGCATGATGCACTGCATAGTTAACGTTTTGAAATGCATAGTAATATGTGTACAGTTTCTCTTGAATCACTCTTTGAATGAAGCAACTCCTGAGCACGCTTCACTATGATAGCAATATTGGAGGAGGATTGGCTTTTGAAGTGACTTTAACACGTTGACGACCGCGCTGATTTTCGCTGTCTGGCGTGTGGGACCGCGCACACTATTAAGACCGCGGCAATGTGGTATGGCATCATGTCACACGGTCCCGCGAGGACACCATTTTTTTGGGAACTGTTCATTTGTTATCCTTTTTGTGTGGTAGGTGTCAGATTTTGCTATTTCGGTTATTTTAGCGATTTCTGCTATTTGAGAGCATGTTGAAAGGGCCAAAGCTGATGTGCCAGTAGGGGTTGCCCTCTTAGTGCCACCTCCCGTCCCTGTACCTCGAGCTTGTAGAATAATCGTTGAATTGCAATTGGGCCTACGTTTCGGAAACCACTCACAGAGTCGAAGATCTGAGGGAAAAAATGAGGGAGGCAGAAAAAAACATTCACAGACCACGCAGAAGCATCGAAACTATGCAGAACTGAAGGAGGGCGCATATACTTCGTCTAATACCAAATGCGTCGTCCCCCTTTGTAGCAAATTACTATAACAAATTCTTTCTTACCGATTGCTCTCGGCATAAGCACAGAAGGTGCGGCTACTGATCATTATTCACACATTTCTCCAAAAGTCCGGCAGCCCACTCACCGAAGCTTCTTTCCGGGGACCACGCATTTTGTAACAATGTATAAGCATGGCGTATACATCACATAAAAAACCCACCCGAAATGTCTGGAAACCACCTTAACCCATTGCGTACCGCGTGCTGCACATGGTGCAGCACGCTGTTTGCCTCTGTGTGGCCGCGTGCTGCACATGGTGAAGCACGGGTTTTGAAGAGTAGTTTCGACATTTTCTCGTGCTCTAATGGTAAGGTAATAGAGATCTGAATCCGGAGAATAACATAGATGCGTGGGACTGCGCAATGCGAAGGGAATTCCGATTTAGTGGAACTAGTTGTGAAAAACTCCAGTCGTACCCTCTCAGTTTTCTCGCCAATTTGTAGCAAAAGTGCAAGTGCGGCTGTGCGATAACTTCGAGCATATGGAATAATCAGAACTACTTCGCTTTGATCATTTTTATCGAATTTTCCCCTTAGTGATATCCTTCAAGATACATTTTCAACTCCAACGCACTTTCAGTTACGCTACTTCCTACACCATACGATAATAACTGATTTCACTGAGCAAAAATAATCATGAAATACTGTACATGTATAGGTATATGTACAGCGCTTATATAATAGGTGTTCATGATGTAAATAAAAGTTTTATATAGATCGCGCAGCACGCGGCGGGGCTCTAAATAGGCGTCGGCCACACGCGCCGGCCAGCCAAAAAACGTCATGGTACGCAATGGGTTAAAAAGACTGTGGTATGACATCATGTCACACGGTTCCACACGGCCGGAGGAGTGTGGTATGGCATCATACCACACGGTCGTCAACGTGTTAATAAAGTACTGCTATAATGTACCGAAAATGTGGAACCTGTGCGCAGGAGAATTTCTGACGAGGATACCTCCAACAAACAACGACAAAAAGCACTAGTCCTAATTCTTCCAGTCTCACTAGTCTGCTCTATTCTTATTTTGTACTTTACTGATGCAGTCCACGTTTCTAACCGCGACTGCCTCGTAGGGTTTTGAATCCATCATTTTCACGAATAGCGTTTTGTTGCCGGGATCAGAGAGGCTTCATGGAGGGTGTGAAATGCTGCGACTGATGGAGAGAGTGGCGGGGGCGGCTGCTGATCGTCCCGAGAATGCGGAGGTTCCCATCAGCAGCGCTCGATGATAGCGCTGGTGAATTCCTTTGTCACCGCGCTCATCTACCCAATAATTTATGACACAATAGCTCTTTATCCAATGTTATAATAGATGTGTATTTTGTATCTTGTCGGATTTGGGTTACTTCATTCTGTCTATCCTCCAAGGATAGGTCAAGTTGCTGTTATCAATGTCGGATCACTAGTCACATTACTGCACTGCATTTCATAAGCACCTCGTGAAAAAAAGTATTCTAAAGTTGTAATGTTGTTGAAATAGAAGGACTGTTT